CAGCCGCTAGAGTACGAAAACTCCAGGGCAAAGTCCTGCGCGGTCCTCGTCCCCTGCCTCAGGTGGACCAGCCGCTCGCCCGCTTCTCTACCCTCGGGCGGGTGATCGAAGACGGCCAGGAACTCCCCGTAGTTGTCCCTGGCGGCTCCTCCTTCACTCTGGACCACGTTGGCCCACTCCAGGGCTTTCCCTGAGAGGCAGGAGATGAGGCCGGACACCTTTTCCCGCTCCAATGGAGCCGGGCTGATGGTCGAGAGGTATAGATCCAGTTGCAGGAGGAATCCCTGGCAACGGGCAGCTGTCCCGTCAAAATCCCTAAGTCGGGATATATGAATCCCTCTGGGTGCTGGGGTTTGGGTGGCTGGATATGGTCACTCAGCTGGTCCCGACAGATCGGGTCCTCTCCTCTCCAGGCGTTGGACGACCTGGAGAACCCGATCCATCGCTTCTCCCAAGCTGGCTTGCATCGTAGAATGCTCCCGGACCTGCACCACGACTCCAGGCATGTGCTCCTCTCCTGCTGACTCCATGTCTTGGTGTGTGATTCTGTGATGAGTGATTTCGAAGGAGTCAGGCGCAGGAGGGTAAATCACAGAATAACAGGATTTATTCCGGAACACAGAGTTACGCAGAAATGCGTCAAAACACTCCAGTGCGCACTGGAAATAACAAGGCACACATTACAAATACAAAATACACGGAGCGCCACCGAGCTTCTCTACCCTCCACAATAAACAATCACACACAAAGACAAGGGGGCAGAGGGAACACTTATACAGGTACTGATGAGGGGACGTGAACCAGGTGTGTGTAATAAACAAGACAAAACAAATGGAATGATGAGATGAGGAAGGTGGCTAGAAGGCCGGTGACGGCGAACGCCGAAAGCCTGCCCGAACAAGGAGAGGAGGCAGCTTTGGAGGAAGTCGTGACACAGGTTGGGTATTTAAATGAGGTGATGACTTCCGGAGCAGACAAAGACTCCAGTTGTCAGAATCCGTCTGAGCCTGTCACCATTGTGATGGGGTACACATGCGGTCCATTCACTCAGATCCCAGACGTTCCTGAAGGCATCGCTGCAATAAAATACAGGATTTTGTTATGTAGCCCTTTACACGCATACCCGGCAACTTTGCGAGCGTTTTGTTATCTTAGTGAGGGAAATGGTGTAAATTTAAGAGGACTATGTATTTTGAAAGATGAGACGTTGAGGATTATAATAAATACCACTTTGATGTCATACAAGCAAGCCAAACACCCGTGAGTCCAAATGTACACATTTCCATATCATAAAACTCATGTCATACACAGTCTTGATGTACAGTTACAAGATGACATGGTGCCATACCCTGAGTTATTCTGAACAGAATGAGCCTATGTTTGTCTATTGTGAAGAAAATTCACCGTGTCACACACCTGAATGAGCTCAGGACTCCTTTCCTTTCTATGCGCACCAAAATGAAGATCTGATTCTCTGAATTGCCTTGTGAAAGCCTAACACTGTAAGATCCTATTTTATAACTTAGCTATTTAAAAAAAAAATGTTATGCCATTTAGCAGACGCTTTTATCCAAAGCGACTTACAGTCATGCGTGCATACATTTTTGTGTATGGGTGGTCCCGGGGATCGAACCCACTACCCTGGCGTTACAAGCACCGTGCTCTACCAATTGAGCTACAATTGAGCTACAGAGGACCACCAATAGAATAAGCTTTCAAATTATGCCCACCTGACCCAGATTTTGATTTATAATAAACCGTTTCTCAATTGCGTAAACAACAACAGTAACTGTGTGATGGCGGGGATGCAGAGTTCCAAAGAAAACCAACTACCAGTCTGCTTGCTCTACTTCCTCAACCGCACGTCAAGGAGAGCTCTTATAGTTGAAGACTCTTCTTTGAGTCATAAAAGTGCATTGAAATTTACTTAGGAACTGTGCACACTTTGGCGAGGTGTGGCCACTTGGAGACACCAGTTAGACCTCTCACTCAAACCCACACTTTGGCGAGGTGTGGCCACTTGGAGACACCAGTTAGTCCTCTCACTCAAACCCACAGTTTGGCGAGGTGTGGCCACTTGGAGACACCAGTTAGACCTCTCACTCAAACCCACAGTTTGGCGAGGTGTGGCCACTTGGAGACACCAGTTAGACCTCTCACTCAAACCCACAGTTAGGAGAGGTGTGGCCACTTGGAGACACCAGTTAGACCTCTCACTCAAACCCACAGTTTGGAGAGGTGTGGCCACCTGGAGACACCAGTTAGACCTCTCACTCAAACCCACAGTTTGGCGAGGTGTGGCCACTTGGAGACACCAGTTAGACCTCTCACTCAAACCCACAGTTTGGAGAGGTGTGGCCACCTGGAGACACCAGTTAGACCTCTCACTCAAAACCCACAGTTTGGCGAGGTGTGGCCACTTGGAGACACCAGTTAGACCTCTCACTCAAACCCACAGTTTGGAGAGGTGTGGCCACTTGGAGACACCAGTTAGACCTCTCACTCAAACCCTTGTAATGTTTTTTTGTATTACGTTGCACCTACCTCATATCTTCCAGGAAATATTCTGATCACGTTACTGATTGTATTCAGAGTATTTTCAGATTTCGTTAATATTTCTGCCTCTGCTATTGTTGTGCCCTCACCTTTGGTCTAATCATTGGCCCATAATCTCCAAACTGTTCCCTTTCAATGGCTACCTTTGTTATACATATGCGTTTCATATTTATTCTCTAAGAAACATTTCAATGTGGCCCTATCCATAGAGCCCGATTCCCACCAGTGTAAAGGGTTAATATACCACAACCAGAATTTTCCCAATGTGTTTTGGAGTTGACGTATAGAAAGGGTTGAAGTACCTCAGCAAGTCCAGACCCTCTGACCTCATGCGCAAGCCATTTTCAATGACATGGAAATCGGTTTTAGGTCTTCAAAGTGTCGCATATATCATTAAGTATATCATTAAGTATATCATTAAGTATGCCGCACATATCATTACACACACCCAAAGGATGGTCTCCTTCCTCAGGATCAGCTCCCACACAATGAGGAAGAAGGACCTGGCTGTTTTCTCTGAACATCCTGTTTGGGTTTAGAGTTTATGTAAATACCTTCGCAAATAAATGACTAAATAGGAATCATGAGGTGGTAAAGTAATTCAGTCAATCTGCATTTCATACCTTCAGGTAACAAGACCAACTGCGCAACCAGGATATGAAATGCATACACGAGAAGTGTTTTTCCCATATTGAGAGAAATGTACTGTCACGGACGTTGAAGGACGGGTCAGACCAAGGCGCAGCGTGAAATACATACATGTTTATTAATTAAACTAAACACACTAACAAAACAACGTAACGCGAAGTCCTCAGGCTAAACACAATACAAGCCTCTAACACGGAACAAGATCCCACCACTAATGATGCAAACAGGCTGCCTAAGTATGATCCCCAATCAGAGACAACAAGCGACAGCTGCCTCTGATTGGGAACCACACCCGGCTAAACATAGAAACACACAACATAGAATGTAAACATAGAAATACTAACATAGAACTCCACACCCTGACTCAACATACTAGAGTTCCATAAGTCAGGGCGTGACAGTACCCCCCCCCAAAGGTGCGGACTCCGACCCCACAAACCTGACATAACAGGGTAGGGTCCGGGTGGGCATTCCGCCTCGGAGGCGGATCCGGCTCCGGGTGTGACGACCACATTCTCTCAGCCTCCCCGTTGCGCCCCTGGTCTGGTCTGGACCTCGGCGCGCTGCTTCCCCTCTCCTTCCTCCCACGATGCACCAAGCCCTGTCTGGACCCTGGTGTGGGAGACCCCGAACCTGGAGAGGGGCTGACGTCTGGGTCTGGACTGGAGCCGCTGACCGGAGCTGGACTGGGCACCGGTGGAGCGGACTGCTCTGGCTCCGGAGTGGAGCTGCTGACCGGAGCTGGACTAGGCACCGGTGGAGCGGACTGCTCTAGCTCCGGAGTGGAGCCGCTGACCGGTGCCGGACCAGGCACCGGTGGAACGGGCACGGATCTGTTGAGCTGAAAAATAACAAGTGACAAAACATAGCACTTGCATGGTTATGATTCGAAGGTGTCAGACTTTTCATGACCAGTGTTTGACATCAGTGACAATAAGGCTACATACATCGGTTGCTAAACTCCCCTCCCCGGTCAGTGATGACATTGTCCAAATATTGTATATATAATATTGTCATCTGTGGTAACTGTATCCTTTCACACAGACCATGATTGGTTTCCATCTCATCACAGGAATTGTGTTGTTTACCATTTTAAATAGAGAAAAGGGAATACCTGATCACTGTTTTGGTTCTCTGTGTATTCTACCTTTTTGTCCAACTCATATTATGGCTTGTGCGTAAAACCCTCTTCCTTTAGAGCACCATTATACACCCACAGTACACATAGTCCAAAATCAATGACGTTTTTTTTTGGGTGACTATTGAAGCGATCTCTGTTCCTGATTTGCCCCCACAAGGGTTCAGCAATTGTCCATTTGCGGAAGAGGTCAGTCACGGCTTGGGCATGCTGGTTACCAGCCTCGGTTCTCTTCTCAAAAGGGCCAATGAGATAGATGCCCAGCATAGACCACGCCCGTCTAACTTCGATAGGATGCGTTACAGGGGTATAGTAGAGTTGCCACTCCTTATAGAATGTGAAAACGTAACGTAACTCTCAACTTCATTTGTAATAACAGCAATAGCACAGTTATAAAACGGCTTGTTTGGATCCTGGATGCTGATTGGTTGATAGCAGGGAGTTATAGGACCACCATCCCCATATTCCAAGGGGTAATGCCTGTTAGCAGTTCGATTTACCAGTGCGCATCCACTGTCAGAACGATTGGGAACTATTTCACGCTGGGAAGATTTTTACCATGACACCCACGACTATTTATAACTAACCCCTGTCTATCTGTGCCCAGCACTATTTATAACTAACCCCCCCTGTCTCTCCGCCTGTCTGTCCCTCTAGTCACTGGACAGCTCTGTCCAACCTGGTGGCCTCTCTGCTCAACTCCATGAAGTCCATCATGTCCCTGCTCCTCCTCCTCTTCCTCTTCCTCATCATCTTCGCTCTGCTGGGCATGCAGCTGTTCGGAGGGAAGTTCAACTTCGACGAGACCCAGACCAAGAGGAGCACCTTCGACACCTTCTCCCAAGCCCTGCTCACCTGCTTCCAGGTAACCCCACCTGAAAAAGGCTTCATAGTGCTTCATAATGAATCATAATGCTTCATAATGCTTTGTAATGCTTCGTACAGTAAGACTACATGGAGGATGGGACCTGAACAAGGCTTCATTATGGTTCATAATGCTTCATGATGCTTTGTTATGGTTCATAATGCTTTATGATGATTTGTTATGGTTCATAATGCTTCATCATGCTTTGTAATGTTTCAAAATACTTCGTAATACTTCATAAAGTAAGATTATATGGAGGATGGGACCTTAATAATGCTTTACAATAGTGTTTGATGCTTGTTTTGATATCGATCATGTTATTTAAAAGACAAAAGGATATGTCCACATCGTGTGTTGTTTTTCTCATTTTAATTCTTAAAGGTCTGATTCTATTTTGAGAAATGCCATGAACGTGATGATGAGGAATTTCATGGAATAAACATGTTGTTTCTTCTCTCCTCTCTCTCGAGTACATACCACTTCATCTACTCTGTCTATCTCTCTCTTTCTGGGAGCATCTTGTATTTCTCTCGCGATAGCTCTCTTGTCGAGGGATGACGACGACTCGAGCTAGAGAGAGACCGAGGAGAGAGAGCTTCTCTCTGATCTCAGTTATCTAGATGCTGTATGCGCTTGAGCTCTCTTTCTTTCTCGATATCTGTTCTCTCTTTCTCTCTGAGATCGCTCTTTCACTCTCTCTCCTCTCGCTCTAGCTCTCTCTCTTCTCTTCCATCTCTCTGTTTCTCTCTGTCATGTCAGATTCTAACAGGTGAGGACTGGAACTTAGTGATGTATGATGGCATCATGGCGTACGGAGGGCCTGTCTTCCCTGGGATGATCATCTGTATCTACTTTGTCATCCTCTTCATCTGTGGTAACTGTATCCTTTCACACAGACCATGATTGGTTTCCATCTCATCACAGGAATTGTGTTGTTTACCATTTTAAATAGAGAAAAGGGAATACCTGATCACTGTTTTGGTTCTCTGTGTATTCTACCTTTTTGTCCAACTCATATTTTGGCTTGTGCGTAAAACCCTCTTCCTTTAGAGCACCATTATACACCCACAGTACACATATTTACACCCACAGTACACGCATTATACACCCAAAGTACCCATATTTACACACACAGTACACGCATTATACACCCACAGTATACATATTTACACCCACAGTACACGCATTATAGACCCAAAGTACACATATTTACACCCACAGTACACGCATTATACACCCAAAGTACCCATATTTACACCCAGAGTACATGCATTATACACCCACAGTACACATATTTACACCCACAGTACACATATTTACACCCACAGTACACGCATTATACACCCAAAGTACCCATATTTACACCCACAGTACACGCATTATACAGCAACAGTACATGCATTATACACCCACAGTACACATATTTCCACCCACAGTACACATATTTCCACCCACAGTACACATATTCCCTTCTGTCTTCGTCCCTAACGGTCTGTTTGGTCAGATATCCTGCTGAACGTCTTCTTGGCTATCGCTGTGGACAACTTAGCAGGAGGAGACGGTGACACAAAGAAAGAGTAAGAATGGAGGGGTAATGAATGAGAGAGGGGGAAACATGAACGTGGTGGAAGGGTGGAAAGAAATCTGATTTGTCATTTATTTATTTATTCTTTTTTTTTACAGAGAGAAGAAAGAAGAGGGGGAAGCAAAGGACGGGGAGGGAGATAATGGAGAACTGAAGGTAAGATGTGGTTGTTGTCTTCTTCTTCTTCTTCTTCTTCCTCTTCTTCTTCTTCTTCTTCTTCTGCTTCTGCTTCTGCTTCTGCTTCTTCTTCTTCTTCTGCTTCTGCTTCTTCTTCTTCTTCTTCTTCTTCTTCTCATGACAAAACTCATCTTAGTCTGTGGGAGGCTTTACTTGTAGTTGTCCCATTGTTCCATACTGAATGTATTCTACTCTTCGTCTCAGATTGTTGTAGTTGTTGTAGTTGTTGGTGTAGTTGTTGGTGTTGTTGGTGATGTTGTTGGTGTAGTTGGTGTAGTTGTTGGTGGTGTTGTTGGTGATGTTGTTGTTGGTGTTGTTGGTGTAGTTGTTGGTGGTGTTGTTGGTGTAGTTGTTGGTGGTGTTGTTGGTGGTGTTGTTGGTAATGTTGTTGGTGTAGTTGTTTCATATTGAATGTATGTGATCTACTCTTTTTCTCAGATTGACGTTGATGATGAGACTGAGTATGAGGAAGAGGAGGAGCCTGAACAGACAGAAGGTGAGGAGGAGCATGCAATATTAGTACTATTATATATTATACTATCATATCCTTTTATATAGTAGAACCGTACAATATCTGACCACTTTTGGTACAGTAGCTCTTTGGTATTTTATGATATGAATGCTATGCAGAGTGTCCTGTGTCTTTGAAATAGCAGTTGTGTCTTTGAAATGTCTGTATGCTAAATGAATGAGCTACCCTTCCGTAGGCTAGTACAATGCATACATCTAGTACAGGGCTCTCCATCCCTGTTCCTGGAGAGCTACCCTTCCGTAGGTTCCTGGAGAGCTACCCTTCCGTAGGTTCCTGGAGAGCTACCCTTCCGTAGGTTCCTGGAGAGCTACCCTTCCGTAGGTTCCTGGAGAGCTACCCTTCCGTAGGTTCCTGGAGAGCTACCCTTCCGTAGGTTCCTGGAGAGCTACCCTTCCGTAGGTTCCTGGAGAGCTACCCTTCCGTAGGTTCCTGGAGAGCTACCCTTCCGTAGGTTCCTGGAGAGCTACCCTTCCGTAGGTTCCTGGAGAGCTACCCTTCCGTAGGTTTTCGCTCCAACCCCAGTTGTAACTAATCTGATTCATCTTATAAACCAGCTAATAATTAGAATCAAGGTGCGATAGAATAGTGTTGGAATGAAAACCTAGAGGACGGTAGCTCTCCAGGAACAGGGTTGGAATGAAAACCTGGAGGACGTTAGCTCTCCAGGAACAGGGTAGAAATGAATACCTGGAGGACGGTAGCTCTCCAGGAACAGGGTTGAAATGAAAACCTGGAGGACAGTAGCTCTCCAGGAACAGAGTTGGAATGTGTCACGCGACGTGTATGCGGTTAGCGAAGTCAAAAGCAGGACACAGAGCGGCTGGCAACGTACTTTACTGAACACAGTAAAATCAACTTACAAAAACAACAAACCTCCAAACAGGGAGGAAAACACAAAGACCCGTACATACAAGCAACTGCCGGAATGACAACGAACAATAACACACAAAATAACCAATGAGAGACAGGGGTTAATATAGGGAATACAATCCAACATAATGGGAAACAGGTGTAAACAATAAAGACCAAACAAGACAAACATCGATCGGCAGAAGCTAGTACTCCGGGGACGACGAACGCCGAAGCCTGCCCGAGCAAGGAGGAGGAGCAGCCTCGGCTGAATCCGTGACAGTACCCCCCCCTTGACGCGCGGCTCCAGCCGTGCGCCAACCCCGGCCTCGGGGACGGCCAGCAGGACGCGGAGCAGGGCGAGTCGGATGACTCCGGTGGAAATCCCTCAACAGGGAGGGATCTAGGATGTCCCTCCTAGGGACCCAGCACCGTTCCTCCGGACCGTACCCCTCCCACTCCACGAGATACTGCAGACCCCCCATCCGACACCTCGAATCCATGATGGAACAGACTGAGTACGCCGGAGCCCCCTCGATGTCTAGTGGGGGCGGAGGAGCCTCTCGTATCTCATTCTCCTGGAGTGGACCAGCTACCACCGGCCTGAGGAGAGACACATGGAATGACTTTAAATGGCCCCACAAACCGCCGACCCAGCTTCCGGCAGGGCAGGGACCCGATCTCCCGGTGCATAAACCGGAGCCTCACTGCGGTGGCGATCGGCGCTCGCCTTTTGCCGTCTGATAGCCCGCTGCAGATGGACATGCGAGGCGTTCCATGTTTCCTCCGAGCGCCGAAACCACTCATCCACCGCAGTGGCTTCGATCTGGCTCTGATGCCAGGGTGCCAGGACCGGCTGATAACCCAGCACACACTGAAAAGGCGTAAGATTAGTGGAGGAGTGGCGGAGTGAGTTTTGGGCTATCTCTGCCCAGGGGATATACCCCGACCACTCCTCCTGCCTGTCCTGGCAATAGGACCTCAGAAACCTACCCACATCCTGGTTCACTCTCTCCACCTGCCCGTTACTCTCGGGGTGAAAACCTGAGGTAAGGCTAATCGAGACCCCCAGACGTTCCATAAACGCCCTCCAGACTCTAGAGGTGAACTGGGGACCCCGATCAGACACTATATCCTCAGGCACCCCGTAGTACCGGAAGACGTGAGTAAACAGGGCGTCGGCCGTTTGTAGGGCTGTAGGAAGACCTGACATAGGAATGAGACGGCAGGCCTTAGAAAACCGATCCACAACGACCAAGATCGTGGTATTCCCCTGGGAGGGAGGAAGGTCTGTGACAAAATCCACCGATAGTTGAGACCACGGCCGTTGTGGAACGGGTACAGGTTGTAACTTCCCTCTGGGCAGGTGTCTAGGCGCCTTACACTGGGCGCACACCGAGCGGGAAGAAACGTAAACCCTCACGTCCCTAGCTAAGGTGGGCCACCAGTACTTCCCACTAAGGCGGTGCACTGTCAGACCAATACCAAGATGACCAGAGGAGGGTGACGTGTGAGCCCAATATATCAGTCGATCACGGACATCGAGCGGCACGTACCTCCATCCCTCTGGACACTCTGGGGGAGTAGGGTCGGCACGTAACGCCCGCTCGATTTCCGCATCGACCTCCCACACCACCGGTGCCACCAGACAAGACTCCGGAAGTATGGGAGTGGGCTCAATGGACCTCTCCTCTGTGTCATATCGCCGGGACAGAGCGTCTGCCTTAGCGTTCTGTGACCCTGGTATATAAGTGAGCTTAAATACAAACCAGGTAAGAAACATGGCCCACCTAGCCTGACGAGGGTTCAGTCTCCTCGCTGCCCGGATGTACTCCAGGTTACGATGGTCAGTCAGAATGAGAAAAGGGTGTTTAGCCCCCTCAAGCCAATGCCTCCACACCTTCAGGGCTTGGACCACCACTAGCAGCTCCCTGTCCCCCACGTCATAATTGTGTTCCGCTGGACTGAGCTTCTTGGAATAGAAAGCACAGGGGCAGAGTTTTGGAGGCGTGCCCGAGTGCTGAGACAGTATAGCACCGATCCCCGCCTCGGACGCATCCACCTCAACTTGGAACGCCAAAGAGGGATCCGGATGTGCCAGCACCGGAGCCGAGGTGAACAGGTCCTTCAGATGTCTAAACGCCCTGTCCGCCTCAGCCGACCACTGCAAACGCACCGGGCCCCCCCTTAGCAGGGAGGTGATGGGAGCTGCTACCTGTCCAAAGCTCCGGATAAACCTCCGGTACTAATTGGCAAAACCCAAAAACCGCTGCACCTCCTTCACCGTGGTGGGAGTCTGCCAATTACGCACGGCTGAAACGCGGAGGGCGGCCTCTCTCCTGGTCTCTCTCCTGGTCTCCCTAGCACCAGCACCCCCGAGCTCCATAGGGCTCGGCTCGGAAGTGCTGGGGGATGGAATGGACGACTCCGGACGTCCGCGGGTAGCCAACAGGGTATCTAGGCGAATCGACATGTCCACCAGCTGATCGAAGCTTAGGTTGGTGTCCCTGCAGGCCAACTCCCGATGCACGTCCTCCCTCAGGCTGCACCTGTAGTGGTCGATGAGGGCCCTCTCATTCCATCCCGCTTTGGCAGCCAGAGTCCGGAAGTCCAGTGCGAACTCCTGCGCGCTCCTCTTCCCCTGTCTGAGGTGGAACAGACGCTCACCCGCCTCCTTCCCCTCTGGGGGATGATCGAACACCGCCCTGAAGCGGTTGACTGTAGCGGCGTCTATTATCCCCCACTCCGGCGCCTTGCCGG